TTAAAGTAACGCGCACACGACAGATAGATAGATAGATAGATAGATAGATAGATAGATAGATAGATAGATAGATAGATCAAAACGAAAAAATATACTACTACTCAAAAAAACAAAGAAGAAAATGGTCCAAAGTACATTTTCTGATTAACGTTTGTTAATATATGCAATGTTTGTAATTATATTTCCAGATATCAAGAGATAAAACATTAATGGTAATAAATAGAAGTTTACTTCCCTTATTACTAATATGAGCTTTCTTCTAGATGACTTATACTCATCATGAAATTTGGTTTTAAAATTCTAAAATGGCGTCAAAATGCATACTGACATATCGACTGTCTAAAGGAAAGCACTCACATGTTTCAAGAAGAATATATTTTATTGCAGCGGAAAATGTTATTTATGTACAACAATGCGCTCCACCTTCATTCTTTTATAAAATTTTGCAGTTGCTTTTGGAATAGAGTTCAAACCTAACAACTTTTTTTTCGTAAGATTATCGACAGCATTTGCTGTGAGTTATTAGCGGAGATTACGGTGAATTTTAAAAAAAGAGGAAGAACAAAAATTTTGAATTCTCTTTTGCTTGTTTAGAACCAAGTTGGATGATATGGGAATCAAATGAAAATATTAATAGGACATTGATTTTGTATGGCGTAAATTTTGTTTTGTGCTGTTCATGACGTAGCCGACTACAGTGTTGCATTTTTTTGTGTATATCTACTAGTGAGTTAGCCCAAATGACTCACTTTATAGTCCACCAATAGAAGGTTAACCAATCAGAAGACGTAGAACATTCAATCCGTCGTGTATAAAGGCGGCCATTTTGTTCACTCTACCCGAATGTCCAGTCCAGCTTGTCAGGCGAAGAGAAACAGAAGAACGAACTATGCTCTGCTACTTTTTGCCAAAATATCCACGGCTAACCTGAACAACGCTTTCCTAATGTCTTCGAAATATTCACTGCTAACCTCTGGATTCTATACTCAAAGACGACCGTCATCATGAATAACAATGGTTATGAGCCCAGACCACGACTATATTTTGACGGGAATGAATCGAGATATGAATTGTGGGAGACGAAGTTCTTAGGCTACCTCAGAATACAAAAACTCCATGACATCATCCTTTGCGAAGACGACCAGAAGGGGGATGATCATTTTATGGAAAGAAATGCAACCGTGTTCGTTGAATTATTACAATTCCTGGATGACCGAAGTTTGTCTTTAATAATGAGAGAGGCCAAGGACAATTGACGGCGAGCCCTACAAATTTTGCATGCTGAATTTAGATAGAACCTCTCGATGTATCTAGATTGATTCATTGTAATAGCGTTGCCTTTAAATTCGAACTGTATATCAAGAAACCATGATAGTCGGCCCAAATCCGTTATTTTAAACCTTATTTCTATGGATTTTTTTATTTTTAATAGAGCGGCCTCACACTTTGATGCAATTAATATATCGTCGACCCAAATAACCAGAATTACTGATATTTCATTATTAAATGTTTTTCGTGTACAGACATGGGTCAACTTGAGAGGATTGAAATTGTTCAATTAAATAAGAATGGATTAATTTATTCCATATTCTTCCGCTCTGATTGAGTCCATATAGTGACTTTTTAAGTTTCCATATATAATTATCACCTTCTTCAAAATCTTCTGGCGGTTCTATGTATATTTCATAGTCGATGGCAGCAACTTCATATGTGATTTTTATTTATTGAATGCGAATTGACTTGACGTTTTGGGAATGATGGATACCTGTTACTGTTTTCCACGGTTTGAATTTCAGAATAATCCTTCTTCTAGGCTGCTGGCCAACCAACGCGAGGAAGCCCAGTCAACTGAGTAGACTCAGGAAGAGATAGCTTAGTGTCTATTCTAATAGCATTTGTTTGAAAGTGAATGCAACAGACTAATCCATAATTTGAAATCGGCTCTACGATTCTTCTTGTAGACAAAAGCAATAAAAATGTGTTTAGGTCTGGAGAATTTTAGACTATTCAGCACCCGGAATCCTTTAACTATAAACATCATCATGTGTCGATATACGAAAGTATTAGGAAGAATAATTTTTATCTATAATATAGACGCTAGAAGAAACCGCTAAGAAATTACTTTCAGACTTAAGCCGAATATTTACCTTTTGATCCAAATATATCTTGAGCCAGTATTTTTTTTAAATACTCAAATATTTTCCGGGCTAAGTTTTGTCTTTTGACTCAACTACAAACTCGACCAACGTTTGTCTATAGTTTCAAGTACCAAGGTTACTAATATTTACCTCTTGGCTCAATTATAAACAGGACCAGTGTACACCTTTCGACTCAAGATTTCAACAATAAAAAGTGTGGATGTTTTTAACAACTCTACCTAACGAACACTATCTGTCTAGTCTCTACTCTGCATTTTTGTCTTTTATATTGTGAAAACATGTCATAAAAACTGCATTTATAAGTGTTTCATTCCATATTGCTACTCTTAGGTAAGGTCGAT